TGTTTGTTTGTTTTGTTTGCTTTTTGACAGGCAGAGTTAGACAGTGAGAGAGAGACAGAGACAGAGAGAAAGGTCTTCCTTCCGTTGGTTCACTCCCCAAATGGCCGCTGCGGCTGGTGCGCTACACCGATCCAAAGCCAGGAGTCAGGTGCTTCCTCCTGGTCTCCCATGCGGGTGCAGGGCCCAAGCACTTGGGCCATCCTCCACTGCCTTCCCAGCCACAGCAGAGAGCTGGCCTGGAAGAGGGGCAACCGGGACAGAATTCGGCACCCCAACCGAGACTAGAACCTGGGGTGCCGGCGCTGTAGCTGGAGGATTAGCCTAGTGAGCCACAGCGCCGGCCCAGAAATGGGTTCTTTCAGCAAACATTTCAAAAGAATCACTTGTAAGAGTTTATAAGAAACTGGTGTGATCTAGTCTCTTTTTGGAGGGTCTCTTTCTAGCAGGAAGGGAGTTAGGGGAGGGAAATATTAGTTTATTCTTCAGGTTACACATACCTCACAGTGAATAGATCTCAACCACTTACTAACATATATCCCTAATTAAATGAAAGTTTCTTGAGTGCAAATCTTGTTGTTTTTCATTTAGTAATATTCAGTGTTTTTCATAGTGGTACTTGAACTCTGAGTACCCAGGAGAAGAGACCAGTAATGAGAGTACTTCAAAAAGTACATGGAAAGAGTAATTAAAAGATGAGTTTATTTTAGTGAAAAAAAAAAAAAAACTGAAATCAATGGGGTGTTCAAAAATTTAATGAAAAATGTGTTCTAAAAAAACTATGCATGGGTTTCCAAAAATATTTTCGTCAAAATAAAACCCACTGACTCCCATTTATCAATGATCTTTTTGAGTTAACTTCATATGTAAAAAACTCAATGTCTGGTTGTAGGATAAATAAGTAAATGAATGTGCTTCCCAACTCATGAAACTAACAAAATACAGCTAGGAAATGAGGATGGAGACGCATCACCTCTCTGACTGTGATACCCAGCCTGTGATGCCCATGCCCATGATGCCAGCAGAAAGCTGTTGGCACATGAATAAAATGTAAAAGTGCAGAAATAAATCTACACACTCCAGGCCGGCGCCACGGCTCACTTGGCTAATCCTCTGGCTGCAGTGCCAGCATCTCAGGTTCTAGTCCCGGTCGGGGTGCCGGATTCTGTCCCGGTTGCTCCTCTTCCAGTCCAGCTCTCTGCTGTGGCCAGGGAGTACAGTGGAGGATGGCCCAAGTGCTTGGGCCCTGCACCCACATGGGAGACCAGGAGAAGCACCTGGCTCCTGCCTTCGGATCAGTGCAGTGCGCCGGCCGTAGCGGCCATTTGGGGGATGAACCAACAGAAAAGGAAGACCTTTCTCTCTGTCTCTCTCTCTCTCTGTGTCTAACTCTGCCTGTCAAAAAAATATTTTAATAAAATCTATATACTCCAGAGGCATATACCCCATGACCTACTCCCACAAGTAACTCACAGATATCTCAGACTCAGCATGTACAAAACTGAACTCTCCATACACACTCTCCCATCCTCCAAAACTTTTTCCTGCCTCTGTCTTCCTTGTCTGTCTACGTAGCACCACCATTCACCTAATTGCTCAAATCAACAGCCTGGAAATCAGCCTGAGAAGAGACAAACGATCCTGTGGCTGGATGCCCTTAGGCAGCACCCTCCTCGGCTGTAATCTGAGATCAGAATGTTCTGGCCAAAACAAGGCCCTCCCCTCCCCCTTTGGACAGTCCCCACTTTTACGTGACCAGCTGGCTGGTTGTTTCTTGGCTCCCCCCAACTTCCCTTAGGTATGATGGATGAATGAAGGAGAAGAGTGGGAACCCTCTCCTGGAAAACCATCCCACAGTGCCTCTAGATATGCCTGGCTACAAATGAGAACTTGGGAGCCCACATGCATTTTGTTAACCCTCTGCCTATAAATCTTCCCTATTAACCATGCCTTAACCTGTACTTTGTGTTGCTTGATTCTACCACCTGATTTTATGTATTTTTCATACCGTCTCATCATTCGTTCTTTTCCCAAACCTTTACCAAGCTCCTCTTACAGACCAATCTGTGTTCTAGACCATGAGACTTACCAGTGAGTGAAACTAAGGTCCCTGCCCTTGTAGAGTAGGGGATGTAACAACATATAAATATTGTATTTTAGAAAGTAATCAGTGCTGTGGCAAAATTAAGAAGTAGAACAGGATAAAGAGAATGGGTAGCATTAGGAAGCATGGTGTGGAGAGGATGGGATGCAAGTTTTACTAGTGTGACCAGGGAAGCCCTTTTGGAGGACAAGGACTTGAAGGTACTGAGGGAGTTAGCCACATGGATAGTTGGGGGAAGCATGTTCTACACAGATTAAGCAGCCAGCGTGGAGGTCCCAAGACAGAGTAAGCCTGTGTAGCTGAGGAAGAGCCGAAAGAGTGAGCCAAGGGCAGTGTAGAGAAGGTGAGGTCAGAGGCAATGAGCAGGCAGAAGCTTTAGAGATTATTATAAGGCCTTGACTTTTCTTCTCCATAAAATGGAGAAGCCCATTGTAGAATTTAAGTAGAGTATTGACATAATCAGACTTTGTAGTTTTTTTTTTTTTTTTTTTTTAGATTTATTTTATTTATTTGAATGGCAGCATGACCGGGGCCGGGGGGGGGGGGGGGGGGGTGGACAGAAGGAAAGAGATCTTCCATTTGCTGGTTCACTCATTAAATGGTGCAGGTCAGGTCTGAGCCAGGACTAAGTCAGGAGCCTGGAACTCCATCTGGGATTCCCACTTGAGTGCAGTGGCCCATGGACTTGGGCCGTCTTCCACTGCTTTCCCAAGAACATTAACAAGGAACTGTATCAAAAATAGAAATCTGGGATGCAAACCAGTGCTCATATGGGATGCTGGCATTGAAAGTGGCAGCATAATGTGCTGTGCCACAGTGCTGGCCCCCAAAGTCAACTTTTAAAAGACTGCCTCTGGCTGCCATATTGATGATGCACTGTAAGCGGAACAGGGTTGGAGCTGAGGCTGGCTTTCAAGGACAGGGCAGAAGCACACCACCTGTTAGGAGGCTACTGCAATAAAGCCCACAAGAGATGATGGTCACTTGGGCCCTGACGATGATGTTGGAGTGGTGAGAAGTGGTCAATGTCTGTAAATATTTTGAAGGCATAACTAACAGAATTTCTGTACATGGGTTGTGAAAGAAAAGGGGAATCAAGATGACTCCAAGTCTTCTGGTTTGAGCAATGAGAAGGATGCATTTGCTATCAACTGAAATGTGGGAAGCTGCGGGTCAGTAGGTTTGGCAGTCTCAGCAACTGTTTTACTTCACTGTCTGTCTCCTACTATCAATAAAACAGAGAATCCAACTCCAGGATATGTCTTGAACCTCAGTGGCTCTCTCCATCAACCCCACTCCACTCTGGGGAACTAGTACCCCCCCATCATGTCTCTCCTGGACTCTCAAGATGGTCTCCTGCCTCATGTCCTGGTACTTTCTAATCCTTCCAAATGCCTGATGTTCCTTAGGACTTCAGGTAGTCTGCAGCTAAATTCATTCTCTTCCAACATCAACTAGACCATGCCGCTTCTCTGTTAATGCCTGTAGTGGTTTGCTGATGCACCAGACTCCATTCCCTAGGCCTCCAGTCCCTGTACCTCCTAATGCCCACTTCCTACTTCACTCTAGCCTTTGCTGTTCCTCTCCATGCTGCAGACAATGGTCTTCCTTCAATTTCCCAAGCACACCCTGCTCTTTTGCATCTTCATGCTCCTGCCTGTCTTTTTTTTAATTAAAAAGATTTATTTATTTGAGAGGCAGAGTTACAGAGAGACAGAGAGAGAGGGACACAGAGAGAGAGAGAGAGAGAGGTCTTCCATCCACAGGTTCCATACTCAAATGGTTGCAATGGACGGAGCTGAGCCAAACCAAAGCCAGAAGCTAGGAGCTTCTTCCAGGTCTCCCATATGGGTACAGGGGCCCAAGCACCTGGGCCATTTTTCACTGCTTTCCCAGGCCATCAGCAGGGAGCTGGATAGAAGTGGAGCAGCCAAGACTCTAACCAGCACCCATATGGGATGCCAGTGCCACAGGCAGAGACTTAATCTACTACAACACAGCGCCAGCCCGACTCTTGCCTGTCTTGACTTTGCCACGTGGAGTACCCTTCCTCCCCCACTGCACGGGTATGTCTGGATCTTTCCTATCCCTTAAGTCTCTGCTTCAATGGCACCTTCTCAGAGAGGCCATCCTAACCTACCCTAATAAAGGAAGCCCACTCTATTATTCTGTCATAGCATCTTTTTCAGAACTTCCCACCACCAATAATTATTTATACATTTTGCTTGCTGTTCTATTGGCCACTCTCCCACCCAACTGTTAGTTCACTGAGAGCAAGAGCCAGGTCTGTTGGGGCCAGAATCGTGGCATAGCAGGTAAAGCTGCTGCCTGCAGTGACAGTGTCCTGTGTGGGCACCGGTTCGAGTCCTGGCTGCTCCACTTCCCATCCAGCTCTCTGCTGATGGCCTGGGAAAGCAGTAGATGATGGCCCAAGTCCTTGGGCCCCTGCACTCATGTGGGAGACCTGGAAGAAGCTCCTGGCTCCTGGCTTTGGATCAGCACAGCTCTGGCCATTGCAGCTATCTAGAGGACTGAACCAGCAGATGGAAGACCTCTCTCTCTCTCTCTCTCTCTCTCTCTTTCCCTCCCTCTCTGTCTTTCAAATAAATACAAAAATCTTAAAAAAAAAAAAAAAAAGAGCCAGGTCTGCTTTGTTCATCACTGTATTCCTAGCATTTAGCACAGTGATTAGGTCTTGATGCCCCATTACAATGTATTAAGTAAGTCAAGGAGTGAATACTAAATATCATGTGATTTTTAGCTTAAGTGTAATAAATAAAATTGCTCTCAGAGTAACATCTTGACTTCTCAACACAACATATGAAGCCTTGAGGGATTGGGGTATGGGTCCCTCCTCCTCTTCTCTCACCTATTCCTGCTCCCAGTGCACTCACCCTACCTGCCATTTGGAGAAGAGGCTGTGGTCTCACTCTGGCCATCGTGCAAGCTCAGGTGTCTGGTGGGTAGGCAGACATACCCAGTGCAGTTTCCACAATTTATTCCCTGGTACACAGGTTCCTCCCCTGGTTCCTCATTGGCTAAGTACTACAGGGTTACAATCTTCCTGGCTTTTGATTCAACTGTTTTGGCCACTCCTAACATCATGTTTGCCTAAGAACTTTTCAGATGCATATAACCTAGCTGTTATGCTAGCTAGCAGCTGGTCACTTTCCACACATCTCCAAGCGATGTTAGTTAGTTGTCTACTCACAGCTAAACACCTGACTTTGAAAATGAACCAAATGTCTTTAGTTCTCACACATCACATTGCTTAGACATCTCCTCCTCTGAAAGGTCTTCTCTGAACCTTTTCCCTCTGTGTACCCACAGAATATTTGCTGAATATCTATGATGGTTTTCTTGCTTGTTTACCTTGCATCCCCCCGAGCTGGTAAACAACTTGTATATGCACCACATAATGTTTCAGTCAACAGCAGACCACACATAGGACAGTGGTCCCAGAAGAGTATCGCCCAGTGATGTTGTAGCCATCTCAGTTTGTGTGCATGAACTCTGTGATGTTCACACAGCAACAGAATCACCTAACAGTGCATTTCTCAGAACATAGCCCCACTGTTAGGTAATGCATGACTAATAGAAACAGAAATCTTGACATGATGCTTATTTAGTGACCAGATGGGCTAACAAGTCATAAATTCATTCCAGTGGTATAGCTGAGGACAGGACAATATGTACATCTGGTACTTTGTTCAACCTTCTTTCCTTTTTAAAATCCAAAGTTGAAACTGTAAAAATTCATACAATAGGCTTTTGTGGTTTTTAACAATGGTAATATGTAGGAGCACTGGAAATTTTTCTTAATTTTAATTGAAATAATACACATAATGCCTTTTAATCTCTCTCCTTTATAAGAATTAAATGCTATCACTTATGCTCTTGTTCATCAACTTTAACCAATTATTATTTCAGAGTTTTGAAAAGGAAATAGGTTTTTTTAATTAAATGTTTTTCTTTCAAGAGTCAGGTTTTTTTCTCAAAAGTAGTAATTGTAACATTGAAATAAAATGACATGTAATAATCTCTAATTTTATTTCACTCAAACTGATTTTGTAATGTTCTCTTCTGTGTATTGCACCTACATTGGGGAACATGCAATAGCTATAATCGCTACACTTATAGGGAAAGTTTTAAGACTTTGGAATGTGCCTTTTCAGTGGAATGCTGGTGCTTCTGGGATTATCTGATCCTGTAGGGATATGTATCCTTAGATTTGACTAGGCTATTTTAGAACTCTTTGGAAATAACAAAAGTCAATATGTAGAAAACTGATAACAATGCAAATAATCCTTGCATATAGCCATGTACATTAATTTTCTTCAGTGGAGAGTCAACTGAACAGATGAGATAAGACGAGCCATCCTCAGATGGCTTATCCATTCACATACCTGGTGCTTTAGCAAGGAGAACTGGGAGGCAGGGGTCTGCAGGTGCTGTTGACCAGAGAACCTGCACGTGGTCTCTTCTGTGGCTTGGGATTTCCAGAGCATGGCAGCTGTGTCCCAGGAGAGCACATCTGGAGACCACATATTCTAAGAAATCAAAGCAGAAGCTGCAAGGCTAGTTTTAACCTACCCTCAGAATTCATATGTCTTCACTCCCACTGCATTTTATTAGCTGCAAAAGAATCGCCAAAGCCAACTTAAATTCAAGGGGAGGGGAATTAGGTTCCACCTCTTGACAGGAGAGATGTCAGATAATTACAGCCATGTCTTTTGGAATCCTTACATGTGTTTGACATATTAAAATATGTCATAGGCTTGCCCAGCTTTTAAATTTTAGTTAAGAATGCCCCCAAAATCAATCAGATTTGCAATTTCATTATCTAAATACCATGTCAAAGAAAATATACCAACTGAAATAGTTTTTCAGTTCATAAAATCTGATTTTATCTTGAACTTACTGGGCTTAGCTTAATATTTTCCCTACTGACAACTAAGAATTTGGGTATGATAATGAGTATTGTCAGCTCCAATGCCTGAATAAAGTACTTCTGTGGGTTTTGTTCCTTGGCATCTCATTTGATTTCAACAAATCCATGAACTTCAGTAAAATTTCTTTAGGTGCTGAAATCTCATGGTTATTGATGATTTTCTTTTATTTTTAATAATGACTATATTTTAATCATATTTGTTGTCCCCCTTTGTAATTCCAAGTTTTCAGTTTCAATGTTGAATCAACATACTTTTCCAATTAGGACAGTATATATAATCTAGTTTGGGGAGGGAATTGAATTTAAACAATGCAACAAATTCTCTATAAAAATTGCCAAGTCACTCCTATGTGACCTAATTGAAAGTTTTGGGGATTCTTAACATCAGTGCTTTTACCAAGTTGAATCACAAAATCTTCTTTGTTCTGCGGTAGTACAGATTTGATGAGCTATTATGGAATAGTAACAGGTATGATTTTTTTTTTTTGACAGGCAGAGTGGACAGTGAGAGAGAGAGAGAGAGAGAGAAAGGTCTTCCTTTGCCATTGGTTCACCCTCCAATGGCCGCCGCGGCCAGCACGCTGCAGCCGGCGCACCGCGCTGATCCGATGGCAGGAGCCAGGAGCCAGGTGCTTTTCCTGGTCTCCCATGGGGTGCAGGGCCCAAGCACTTGGGCCATCCTCCACTGTACTCCCTGGCCACAGCAGAGAGCTGGCCTGGAAGAGGGGCAACTGGGACAGAATCCGGCTCCCCAACCGGGACTAGAACCCGGTGTGCCGGCGCCGCTAGGCGGAGGATTAGCCTAGTGAGCCGCGGCGCCGGCCCAACAGGTATGATTTTTAATTTGTCAGCTGCTTTCTCATTTTATCATCAAAAATCATATGCATCATTCCATACATCCTGGAAGAATAATTTTTGACAGCCACGTGACCCACTTTCTTTTTTACTGCTTTATAAATGAAGGTATTTCAAAAAATTCATAGAAATGGAATTTTAAAAAATATTCATATCAGTGCAAGAAATTTTGAAATCCATGCATAGCTTTTTCATCATTTGCATTTTCCATGAACTTTTTGAAGACCCCCCTCCCCATGCAACTAAATAGGTAGTTAAAAGACTCTCTCATTAATAGTAGTTGATAACTTAGAAATTATTGTGACTTTATGTATTTTTCCTTTGGAAACCTGTGAAAGATTTACTTACAGATTATAATATTTCCCCAGGTATGCTTTTCAGTGTGAAGGTTTATTGTAAGTAATATGTTGGGTCTATTATTTTTATTAAGACTTATATATGTTATAAAATCACATTTAAAGAATCTTCACTATAAGGATTTGCATCTGCTTTTCCCTTTTTAGAATACAATTCTAATAAAATGAAAAATGTTACTAGAATCAACATTTTTCTCAATAGTATTAGATCTATGGCCGGCGCTGGGGCAGCATAGCAGGTTAAGCTGCCACCTGCAGCACTAGCATCACATATGGGCGCTGGTTTAAGACCCAGCTGCCCCACCTCTGATCCAGCTCCCTGCTAATGCATCTGGGAAAGCAAAGAAGGTGGCTCAAGTCCTTGGGCCCCCACACCCAAGTGGGAGACCCAGAAGAAACTCCTGGCTCCTGGCTTCAGACCAGCCCAGCTCCAGCCCTTGCAGCAATTTGGGTAATGAACCAAAGGATGGAAGATCTCTCTGTCTTTGCCTCTCTCTCTCTCTCTGTAACTCTGCCTTTCAAATAAATAAATATATCTTTAAAAAAAAAGTGTTAGATCTGTACTTCTAGATGCAGCAGTTGAACTAGAACATACAAGAGTACTTCAAAATGTGTGGAAAATGAGACTGAAGATGATTATTTTGATACAATAAAAGCTTTGAAATCCACATTCATTTTCCATGAATCTTTTGAAGACCACTCATAAGCATGGATTACAATTTTTACATCAAAATAAATTTACCTTTTTAAAATAGTTATTGTATTTATTTGAAAGGCAGAGTATTTATTTATTTGAGTAACAGAGAAAGAGGGAGAGACAGACAGATCTTCCATCTACTGGTTTAGCCCCCAAAATGGCTGCAACAGCCATGGCTGAGCCAAGCTGAACTCCATCGAAGTCTCCTAGGTAAGTGGCAGAGGTACTGCTTTCCCAGGCACACTAGCAGAGAGCTGGATCGAAAGTAGAGCAGCCAGGACTCAAACTGGCACCCATATGGGATACCAGTGTCAAAGGTGGCTGCTTAACCCATTGCACAACAAGGCTGGCCCCAAATTTATCTTTTAATTCTATTTTCCATGAATTCTTTGAAGTTCTGTATTCTTCATGAACTCTCCTTTCTTCCAAACAATCCAATATAAGGAAATGTATACCAGTTCAATCAAAATGTTTTAGTAGTCACAATCTAAGTGAAAATGCACAGTAATATCCTTTGTGATAAATCCCCTACCACGCATAAAAGTCACTCTGCTGAGAATCTGAACAATTTGCTTTGCCAGGCCAACTATTGTGGTACTTCTCGACTAACTTCAATTTCTGTTTAGCATACAATTAAACTGTGTAGTGTTTACATCTGATATCAAATTGATCAAATTATCTGTCATCTACCAGAAAATTAAATGAGATGCCCAAGGCCAGGTACATAATTTCTGGGGCCCAATACAAAATGAACATGTGGGACTCCTCGCTTTCCAAGGATCTACTGTCCCAACCCATAGCAGATGGGTGAGCCCAGATTGGGGGTGATAGCAGTCATGGGGCAGGGACTGGATGGGGACCCAGGGCACCAAGGGGCAGCATAGAGTAGGAGGTCAAGAAACTGTCTCAGGGAACCAAGAGGCTGTGGAGGCAGGATGGAGTGTGAGTCAAGCTCCAAGCCCCCACTGGACACTCCCTTATCCCATCCCACTTCACTTACCAAAAATAAAATTAATGAGAATAGTAACACAGTGACCACTGAGCATCAAACTCCAAGTCTGTCTGAGTGGGGAGCCCTGTGCCCCTGCCCTGGTTGTACCCCTGCAAAGCCAGCCCTGGAGATGCCAGTGAGCAAAAGAACAAATCACCCATTCCTGGCCACAATATCCCTTCTCCCAGAGGCTGTCCCCACCTGGGCAATCGTAGGTGCAAGAACGTGATAAGGGACAGCCAGCCCCGGCTCTAACATTCCACACCTTGAGCACACCTCTCCAAGCTCTGCTTCCTTAGCACTAAATTCCTCAAGTTATAATATGGGCTTCCTTATTGCTAATGAAAGGGTTAGGCCAGGTTAGACGACCTCTAACATCCCCTACAGCTCTGTTTCTGTGAGATGGAAACAACGCAAATAGGTGTTGGGCAAAAGGCGTCTGGCCTCTTGACTGTGTCATCCCATTTTTCATGGACCCGTCGTAATCAATCTATTTCGGTTCATCAAAGCCATATCTGAGCTGTTTGTTCTGATGTTGTTGCCGCATAGAAGCCAAAAGAAATGAGGGGTGAGTAACCTGGATATGTGCGGGCAAAATGGGCCATCATATCCTTAAAGCTAGCAGCAAATGGGTTAATTCTACCACATTAGATTTAAAATAACAATAATTAATACCTGGGACAGATCCTTTTATCTAAGGTGCTCAAAGGACTTTGCAGTCATTAAACCATTAATTCACCTGCCTCAAGCTATGGGAGGTCAGGAGGAAACTGTTTAGAAGCCAGGCACTCCAGAAACATTGCAACAAAGAGGAATGACCGTGACTAACTAGCAGGACAGGGAGGGGGGAGGGGAGTGAGGGAGTTACCAAAATGTCTCTCTTCGGAGAATTTAATGGAAAATCTTCCTGCTATTGTAGCGACAGCAGTTTAACCACTCACCATGCTCTTTGAGTGAATGCTCATGGTCGTCCCATCTCATGGACTGAGAAATCTCTTTATCCTTAATGTTAACTCCAGCCTTTCCAGCTGCAGACAACAATTATGCCCAAAGCAAAGAGAGGGGAACAGTTGACCCTAGCATTTTCTTTTGTCCAAGGAGAAAATGGCTTTTAAAGTTAAGGAGTCTCTAAAGACAGAGTTCTAGTGCAGGATGAATCCCTGGAGTTTCTGACTTTTTGGCAGGTGGTTCCCATTTAAAAGCATCTATTGAAAAACCACACCTTCTGAAAAGACTGGAATATAGCATGAAAATAATTTAATTAATCCAACCATTCATCATCCAAGAGGCACTCTGCAAATGGCCAGGTGCTCTGGGAATAGAGATCACTACAAATCTAATAAATATATGAGATTAATGAACATAATATAAGTTGATACATTTCTTATTTGTTAATATTCATATATTTCAGCCAGTGCCGCGGCTCAATAGGCTAATCCTCCACCTAGTGGCCCCGGCACACCAGGTTCTAGTCCCGGTCGGGGCGCCGGATTCTGTCCCAGTTGCCCCCCTTCCAGACCAGCTCTCTGCTATGGCCCGGGAGTGCAGTGGAGGATGGCCCAAGTGCTTGGGCCCTGCATCCCATGGGAGACCAGGAGAAGCACCTGGCTCCTGCCTTCGGATCAGTGCAGTGCGCTGGCCGCAGTGCGCCGGCCGCGATGGCCATTGGAGGGTGAACCAACGGCAAAAGGAAGACCTTTCTCTCTGTCTCTCTCTCTCACTGTCCACTCTGCCTGTCAAAAAAAAAATTCATATATTTCTATTTATTGTTAATATATTTACTTTTGAATATCAACTTTGTCTTTTTGAAGATTTATTTACTTACTTACTTATTTGAAAGCTCATTATAGATAGAATGAGACCAAGAGAGCAAGAGAGAGAGTGGGGAAGAGACTCTTCCATCTACTGTTTCACTTTTCTTTTTTTTTTTTTTTTTTTTTTTGACAGGCAGAGTGGACAGTGAGAGAGAGAGAGAGAGAGAAAGGTCTTCCTTTGCCGTTGGTTCACCCTCCAATGGCCGGTGCACTACGCTGATCCGATGGCAGGAGCCAGGTACTTATCCTGGTCTCCCATGGGGTGCAGGGCCCAAGCACTTGGGCCATCCTCCACTGCACTCCCGGGCCACAGCAGAGAGCTGGCCTGGAAGAGGGGCAACCGGGACAGAATCCGGCGCCCCAACCGGGACTAGAACCCGGTGTGCTGGCGCCGCAAGGTGGAGGATTAGCCTAGTGAGCCGCAGCGCCAGCCCTGTTTCACTCTTTAAATGGCTCCAACAGCTGGGGCTGGGCCAAGCCAAAGCCAGGAGCCAGGAACTCCATCCAGGTCTCCCACATGGGTGGCAGGGGCCCAAATTCTTGGGCCATCCTCTACTGCTCCCCACCAGGCACATTGGCGAGGAGCTGGGTTGGAAGCAGAACCACCCGGGCCTCAAATTGGCGCTCTGCAGTATGGGATGCCAGTGTCACAGGCAGTGGGTTAACCCACTGTGCCACAATGCAAGCCCAGTTAATATATTTATTAATAAATTAACTAATAAAATTACAGAAAATAGAATTCTGTACTTTTCAATTGTATAGACCCTACGTCTTGTGGAGTTCGTGGTGGGAGGTGTTGGAAGAGGACTAGAATAAGCAGGGAAGGCAAGAGTCATGCATAGAAGAGATAAGAGGAACCAGATCTCAGAGATGAGAAAGGGTTTGGATTAACAATCGAATCAATGGGAGTCACACCAAAGACAGTTCTCAACAGGGACAACACCTAAGGAAGGGGACCAGGTGAGAAGTTAGAGGCAGTAGAAAAACCAACCCGGCTAAACTGTGGTGCTCAGAGACCAGGAAGATGCATGGTTGAATGGGAAAGGAGAGCCAGATCACAGAGCACCTGGCAACCAGAAATCAGGCACTGATCTGGGGGTCCTGAGACCTCTGTCTGAAGGAAATTTCTGGAGGAAATTGGGGATGGGAGGCATTCACCGTAGGCTGCACACTGTACCGTGTGCTTTATTAAATGTCACTGTAGAACACATTCCAATCTCAGCTGGTGACCATTAGTGTAAGTTCTTTTGTTTCAGAACCCAAGAATAGTGCAATGGAAGTACATTCTGGGGGGAGTGAGGAGAAAAGGATAGAGGGACATTTTAGCCAAAGTCTTGGACATGCCAGGAATAGCTGGTCCAGGTAGATCCAGGTAGGAGCCCACCCATGATAAATAACCAGGGCCTGAGGAAGGATATTCCAGAAGAGAGGAAAAGAAATTAGTAGAGTTGAGAAGATAAATTTCACCCAATTCGCAGTTTTGCCTACCGTTGGCCATTTTCATATCCGCATAGGTGGAATCACTGTTTCTTATCACCTATTAATTTGTTGAATGGATGTTCCTTTATTCTTACAATTAAAATCAAGAGCTGGGGAAGTCTCTGGATTCCTTGTGTATGGCCAACTGAGGGTTTGTGTAGCTTCCAAAGTACACTAGAAGACACAGTCTTTCCTCAATTCATATCCCATGCAGGCCCACCCTAAGGCCAGGATACCTCCGGTCAGCAATAGGATGGAAAAAGAATTGTTCTCACCAAAGGAATCTGCAGAAAAGTTGCTGTGAAACTGGAATAGGTGTGTCTTTCTGTCCTTCCGGTTCTTTTTATAGGCACTGAGGAACCTGAGTGAGGGCCTGCAGTTCTTCCGCCCATTTGGGGAGAGATTAAAGAAGCTGAGGTCGTCTCCTTCTTACTCATTTGCAGTTACAACCTTGCAACCTCCAGCCTCAGCTCCCAGAGTGGACACGGAGAAGGTGAGTCGGAATGAAGAGGCCATGGCCTCAGCTAGGAACCTGAATCTCTCCAGATGGCTGGAGTCTAGCTTGGGAATAACTGAGGGGAGTAGGGTTAGTGTTATTTAATTGCAAGGTTTTTGTTTTATTTTGTTTTGTTTTGTTTTTCGAAATGAATTTGTAGGATTTTTTTTTCCCTAGGCCACATCTATCAAGACTTGGACTTCAGGTCTAAATAGTCCAAAAAACTATTTGAAGGAAAGAGTTATTTTGTATAAATCTTTTTGTTTTAAGATTTATTTATTTATTTGAACAACAGAGTTATAGGGAGAGAGGGAGAAACAGAGAGAGAGAGAGAGAGACAGAGAGACAGAGAGACAAAGAAATCTTCCATTTGCTGGTTCACTCCTCAGATAGCTGCAACAGCTAGAGCTGGGCCTATCCAAAGCCAAGAGCTTCTTCCAGGTCTCCTATGTGGGTTCAGGGGTCCAAGGACTTGGGCCATATTCTGCTGCTTTCCAAGGCGTATTAGCAGGGAGCTGGATCAGAAATGGAGCAACCAGGACTCGAACCAATGCCCATATGAGATGCCAGTGCCACAGATGGCAGCTTTACCCACTAAGCCACAGTGTCAGCCTCTTGTATAATTTTTTGATGAACAAATAGGTGTTTATTAATAACCTTTTACATTTGGATTAATTTGAATTGCTTTGGAAAGAAAAACAGTCATTAAAATTACTGGGAAAAACTATTTGCCCATCTCCTTCAAGCAATGCATCATTATCTAGAATAATCAAATGATCCACTAATGTTGGCAGTCTTTGTTCTATAACCTGCTATAACTGGTATCCTATTCATAATGCAAATATTGTTATATACCCATTTTATAAAAAAGATTCTGCCTTCAAAACCCATGAGACTGTGATATGCAAATTGATGAATTTTAAGAGCCACTGAGTAAAATCTATTCTGCTTTTCCTAGCAGAAAGATAGAACTAAAATAGCTTTGATGGTTTTAGGTTGATTGTTTCATTTCCTTTACCAACATTCTATATGCAAAGAGTATTCAATACTGTTTCTGGAAAATGTGTATTATGAAAAAAGTGTGTATAGATTTCCCTTTTTTTAAAGATTTATTTATTTATTTGAAAGTCAGAGTTACACAGAGAGAGGAGAGAGAGAGAGAGAGAGAGAGAGAGAGAGAGAGAGAGAGAGTCTTCCATCCACTGGTTTATTCCCCAGATGGCCGCAATGGCTGAAGCTGCACCAATCCGAAGCCAGGAGCCAGAAGCTTCTTCTGGGTCTCCCACACGGGCGCAGGGGCTCAAGGACTTAGGCCATCTTCTACTGCTATGCCAGGCCATAGCAGAGAGCTGGATCGGAAGAGGAGCAGCCAGGACTAGAACTCGCGCCCTTATGGGATGTCGGTACTTCAGGCCAGGGCATTAACCCACTGCACCACAGCGCTGGCCCCATAAACTTATTTTTTAATTCTACTGTCTATGAACTTTCTGAAGTACCGGTGCATGTGATAGCATTTCCCATCCCCTTAGACTGTTGTTGTGTGTATCTATGATTTTTTTTTTTTACACCATGAGGGATATTAGCATTTAGATAAATATCAGAAGTCAGGGTAACTTGGATTCTCTCCAGTCAATGTCAAAGCTAACTTGAGTCTCTCTGGTGTCCTAGTGACAATTTTTATAAAGCTGGTTTATTTTTAAAGATTTATTTATTTATTTGAAAGTAAGAGTCATAGAGAGAGAGAGATGCCAGAAGCCAGGGTCTCCTATATGGGTGCAGGGGCCCAAGGACTTGGGCCATCTTCTGCTGCTTTTCCAGGCTATAGCAGAGAGCTGGATTGAAACTGGAGCAGCTGGGTCTTGAACCAGCACCCATATGGGATGCCGGCTCTTCAGGCCAGGGCATTAACCTGCTGCACCACAGTGCTGGCCCCTAAAGCTGTTTGTTTCATATGCCCAAGTATCTTTATTTGGGAGTGACACTATTAAGCCCTACATAGGATTACCCATCAGGCATTCCTGTGGGTTGATGTAAAGTCTTAAGCTTGTTTCTTCTTTCTCTTTCTGCAGGGCATCAGAAAACCATTCTCGTGAGGTCCACTTAGAAGTCACCATGTATGAGGACTGCATTGAGTCCACTGGAGACTACTATCTCCTCTGTGACACTGAGGGAGCCTGGGGCATTGTTCTGGAGTCCCTGGCTGCAATTGGCATAGTGGTTACAATTTTGCTCCTCTTGGCATTTCTCTTCCTCATGCGAAAGGTCCAGGACTGCAGCCAGTGGAATGTCCTCCCCACCCAGTTCCTCTTCCTCCTGGGGGTGCTGGGGCTCTTTGGACTCGCTTTTGCCTTCATCATCCAGTTCAATCAACAAACTGCCCCTGTGCGCTACTTTCTCTTTGGGGTTCTCTTTGCTCTCTGTTTCTCATGCCTCCTGGCTCATGCCTCCAACCTAGTGAAGCTGGTCCGGGGTGGTGTCTCTTTCTCTTGGACAACAATTCTGTGCATTGCTATTGGTGTCAGCCTGTTGCAGACGATTATTGCCATTGAGTATGTGACACTCATCATGACCAGAGGTATGATGTTTGTGCACATGACACCCTACCAGCTGAACGTGGACTTTGTTGTACTCCTGGTCTACGTCCTCCTCCTGATGGCCCTCACGTTCTTCGTCTCCAAAGCCACCCTCTGTGGCCCGTGTGAGAACTGGAAGCAGCATGGAAGGCTCATCTTCGCCACTGTGCTCATCTCCATCATTATCTGGGTGGTGTGGATCTCCATGCTCATGAGAGGCAACCCACATCTCCAGCGACAGCCGCAGTGGGATGATGCGGTCGTGTGCATTGCCCTGGTCACCAACGCTTGGGTTTTCCTGCTGGTGTACATCATCCCTGAGCTCTGCATTCTCTACAGATCTTGTAAGCAGGATTGCCCTTTGCAAAGCAATGCCTGCCCCGTGCCAGTCTACCAACGCACCTTCCGAGCAGAGAACCAGGAGCTCTCAAGAGGTAATTGCCTGGGGAACTTGGGGTGTGGAAAGGTGTGCATTTAGGAGAAATAGGCAATGGGATGAACCATAATGGAGCAAGAAGGGAATGGTCACATTTTGAGTGAGTGACTTCATAGTTCCTACATGGAAATGAAGACTCCCAGAACTAAGGTTGAATTTTAAAGAAAAACCAGTTCTTCCAAAACCTAGAACTTTATGGGGATAGACCAAGACTGAAATGAATCAGAAACCATTTAAAAAACAAAGTGACTATGACTCTGAATACTCATGTAAAGAAAGGCACCAACAAAAAGTTAACTAGACCCAAATAAGATTTGGACCAATGCAATTGCTAAGGCCAGATGCACTGACTTCCAAGTACAAAAGTCAATCCTAACAACAGTAATTGACATTTAAAAATTTTAAATCTCAAAGGTAATTCACACAAAATCTTAAACTGATTCATGAAATTCATAAGACTCACCACTCAAAAAATTCAGTCTAATAGCTTCTGAATTTCTGCTTTTTCAAGCCATTCATAGTTTTAAATTCTTTAATGTTTACGAAAACAGGAAAAACATTACATCAGCATCCTTAGTATTCTCAGATGTGTGACCATTAGGAGAAATAAAGCAATGCATCACATTTTCATAAGAATTTCTGGATCATATTTTTAGCCTTATGTAATCCCAAGCCGTTCAACTATATTTTGTTAAGGAATGAAATACATTTTCCATGATAACAAGGATGTTCAGACTCCCATTAACCTGGGGGAAATGGTGGTTAATTTCAGTTATCTGGAAATATGACAGAACTCATTCATTCCTTTTCTGAAACATCTGGTCTATTATTCATAACCCAATATTATAGTTTTATATCAAGTGTTTTGCCTTAAAAGGCATCTGATTTTTCACATTTTATTTCTAATATGTAACTACGATGCTATTTTATATATTATATAGTACATATAATAGTCACCAGGCTCAAAAATATTAATATAAGATTTCCTTTTAAGTACATACACGTCTTAGAGCTGTAATCTGTGGTTAATTACACATTCAAATTAAATCCTTTTTAGATAAATACACCAATTTGTTCTTTTCAGTTCAGTAGGCTGAAAGTCAGAAATTGACACTATACATCCTTCCTATAAAAGTTTTTCATTGCTTGTCGATGATGTATAATCAGATCACCAAGGTTTGTGTTAGAATTGCAATGAATTTTTCTCAAAAATTCTTCTCATAGTTCTAACCAGAAGATAGGATAAGACTTCTTGTGCTTGTTTTTGTTGTTATTGCATGTGTCCAAGAAACAAAAGTCATAGAGAAAGTAGTTCTTGGAGTTTCACAACAATCAAAACATAGCAAGCCTTGTAGTAATCAATATTCCATACCCCAACATATTAGTCAAATGTTTTAAGTGTTCTAAGGAGTGTCTTAATTAAAGAGCATAGGCTTGCTAAAGTATGTTTCCTGGTTTGGCCAGGTCTATCCTAATTCTCAAGTGGGGTTAGAAAATCCATCTCCAGGTCAGAAAGTCTGCCAGTGATAGTCATTGCCAACATAGTTTGATATTTTGTGAGAAAAAAAAATCAATAATGTAGTAAACAACATATAGATTGCTCTCTAAAACTGAGAAGAGTGGCCAGAAACTCAAGATCAGACAACAGAATCGGAATTTAGGTCACCTGGAAGAAACACAAATACCAAAGGTTAGAAGAATGATTAAAACTCAATGTAACGTGCAGGGTTACACCCAGCTAGGAAAAACATACAAATTGATACAAAATAGCTAAAGGCCCAAAAAATATGAACAGTCTCTTGAAAAGAACCCCAAGAGTTATTGTAGGTCCTGAGTCAACAGTGAAAAAGCTGCTTACCACTCTCTTTGTTTTTGTTCAGAAATAATCATGATTCTATAGCAACAAATGTGTGGTTGGCAGGAACCATCGTGCTCAGCCTCAGTCAGTCTCCAGCAAGAATGCTCACTCCAGGTTGGGAATCCACTGGGAGAAAGAAGTATGGGGAACTGGAGGAGGCTCAATGGAAAACTGAAAAGATGATTAAAGGGTTATAATATCAGACCTACGTGCAAAGATTAAGACAATGAAACTGATCTGGTCATTCATAAGCTGGATGTGCCTTTGACATAGGTTATTCAAATTCTCTCTCTAAATTCTGGGCTGAAACACAATGTTTTATTTGATTCCATGAGGCATGCATTTGTCATGTGATTCTTCTGACTAATGCTGCTTCTAGCTGGAACTCCTGTTGCACAATTATTTGATTTACCACTCAGTTATGAAACCAGAATCATTCAGCTGAAAGAAGAGTTGAGACAAGGAGTGATCAGCAAAGACCTTAGAAATGTGAAGACCTCTTCCCGAGAGGCCATGGCCTTGCTGTCTTCCATCTCCAATAAAGATAACAGATGGAAATGGGCCCACACTGAGGCATGAGGGATGTAGATTAAACATGGAAATAAGAGTTGGTAAACACTTTGCTGAAACAGATCAGTGAAAGGGATTAAGGACTCCATTTCTCTGGGAGTCTTTCAAAAGATTAAGCTTTATCTCTCTGAAGTGGCTTATGGACTTAATGCCAAGATATAAACAATGCAATCAGGCATGTCATTCCAGGACAGCAAATATCTGTATCTATCTATCTATCTATCTATCTATCTATCTTCATTCCATGCCCTGGGTTATAAGAGTCTCCCTAAAAAGCTGTATATTGATTGAACTTTTCTTTTTTAAAAAAAGATTTATTTGTTTATTTGAAAAGCAGAGTTATAGAGAGAGAAAGAGAGACAGAGAAAGATAGATTCCATCTGCTGGTTCACTTAATAAGTGGCCACAAAGGCCAACGCTGGGCCAGGCCAAAGCCAAGAGCCCAGAACTCCATATGGATTTCCAGTGTGGGTGACAGAGGCCCAAGCACTGAGGCCATCTTCCACTGCATCCCTAGGTGCATTAGCAAAGAGCTGGATCAGAAACAGAGCAGCCAGGACTCATACTGGCTCTCATATGGGGTGCCAGCATCATAGGTGGCAGTTTAACCCACTGTGCCACAACACTGGCCCCTATTGATTGAACTTTTAAAGTCAGTTGCTCTTAACCAGAATCTCAAGCCAAAAACATAAATATATGCTCTCATAGCATTTAATTAAAGTGGTACAAAATCAACATATTGATAGGCACACAAAACTTTAACACAAAAACTCACAAGAGTAGGATAAAGAATTTATCCTCACAATTTGTGAGGGCTGGTGTTGTGGCATAGCAGATAAAGCCACCACCTACACCACCAGCATCCCATATGAGCTGTTCCATATCCCGGCTGTTCCACTTCCCATCCAGCTCCCTACTAATGGCCTGGGAAAAGCAGTGGAAGATTGCCCAAGTGTTTGGGCCCCTGCCACTCACATGGGAGACCCAGATGAAGCTCCTGGCTCCTGGCTTCAGCTTAGCCCAGCCGTAGCTTTTGTGGCCATTTGAGAAATGAACCAGCAGATGGGTGATCTCTCTCCCTCTCTCTGTCTCTCCCTCCCTCTCTGTAACTCTGACATTCAAATAAATAAACAGATTTTTGAAAAATAATTTGTGCAGCATATAAATGAACTAATTAAAATGCAAAATAAAAAGGAAGAAGCAATTCTGAAATTATTTTAATGTTTAATTACTTCATTTGCATGCATCTAGGATTATGTTATTTTTAACATATCCTTCATTAATTAGATTAGTTGATGGATATGTTACTTGTTTAATGTTTAGAATTAGTAAATTTGGAATGTTTTTCAAGAAAACATAGCTACACATCAATCAATAAATAAAATCAATTGCTCTTTTTTTTTTTTAAAGATGTATGTATTTATTTGAAAGGCAGAGTTACAGAGAGGCAGAGGCAGAGAGAAAGAAGTCTTCTTTCCGCTTGTTCATTCCTCCAAGTGGCTGCAATGGCCAAATCTGGGCTGATCTAAAGCCAGGAGTCAGGAGTTTCTTCTGGGTCTCCCATGCAGGTGCAGAGACACAAGGACTTGGGCCATCTTCTACTGTTTTCTTGGCCATAGCAGAAAGCTGGATCAGAAGTGGAGCATCCAGGACTTGAATGGGTGCCCATATGAGATGTGGACACTGCAAGTAGTGGCTTTACCCATTACCTCACAGTGCTGACCCCTCAATTGTGCTTTTAACTGAGAATTTTAAGTGTGATACAATTTGCAAAGATTTTTTTAAAAGATTTATTTATTTATTTGAGAAACAGACTTAGGGAAACAGAGAGAGCGAAAGACAGAGATAGGTCTTCCATCCACATGTTCACTCCCCAGATGGCCACAACAGCTGGAGCTGGGCCAATCAGGAGCCAGGAGCTTCTAGGTTTCCCACACAGGTGCCATACCACTGGCCCCTGCAAAGATATTAAATATAGTAGAATATCAACTGTGGATCTGTCTTGTGAGTGAAAAGTTCCCCTTCATCATTGCCTGCTTAATCTGTTTTAAATTAATTAGAATGTTGTTATATCAAGCTTTCTGAAAGCAAGACCCATATTTATTAAAAATATCACATTTTTGTCAAAAAAAATCACATTTTTAAAGATTTGGTTATTTATTTGAAATAGAGAGTTACAGAGAGGAAGATACAGAGAGAAAGAAAGAGAGAGGTCTTGCATCTTCTGGTTCAGTCCACAAATGGCCACAACAGCCAGGGCTGGGCCAGGCCAAACCCAGGAGCCAGGAGCTTCTTGTTCTCCCAAGTGAGGTCAGGGGCCCCAGAACGTGGGCCATTATCCACTGCTTTCCCAGGCCATTAGCAGGGAACTGGACTGGAAGTGGAGCAGCTGGGACTCGAACTTGCACCCATATGGGATTCCGGCACTGCAGGCAGTGGCTTTACCCACTTTGCCACAGCACCAGCCCCCCAGAATATCACATTACTGTTGGACCTTTTCCATCCAGTGTGCAACTGTGTGCAGACAAACCTAGTGTGATTCTTTTTGAAGGTATTAGGACAAAGAGAATCAATGAGTCTATATAATACAAAAACGGGCCAACAAGTATAAAATGAAGTCAACCAAGTGAAAACTGTTCCCTAGTAAACACCTGCTTTTGCTGAATATAGTCCTCCTTAACAGTCCTCAACATGCTTTTCTCCAAGGCATGCCCACCTTCCCAGGGGAAACACCATCGGAATGATCTGAACTGGGGTCATTTCTATTTGTCCTTTCATGGGAAGGGTTTTTTTTTGTTTTGTTTTGTTTTGTTTTGTTTTGTTTTTTGTCATCTACAAGAATAGCAGGTCACAGAATGAGAGCTGGCAAAAAGCAAAAAAGTAAGTCATGAGCAGGATTTGTTTAGTCTGAGGACCGATAAAACACACATAGTGATGTGTATAAAGACTCAAGGAGCATGAGCATATCTGGGAAGCAGAAAGAGCACAGAATAAAACTTCGCACGCCCAGACTTTGGGGCTTTGCTCTATCTTTTACCAATCTTGAGCTCAAAACAAGGTCTTCAACCTCCAGGAGCCTGAGGTCCCTTATCGCTACATGATGATGATAGTGCCCCTCCCGTCTGCTCTGCATGTAAATAAATGTCAGGGCTCACTCAACTCAGATTTCCCACCATGAAGTGATTGCCAGTTGGATACAGAAAAACTTTCAGCCTTTTGGCAAATTCATTGATAATAATTACAGCTGGAAGAATTGACTTTTGTCATTGATGATCTGGTCCAATGAGAATGCGAGATGAAGTTGGTTGCCAAGGGGCTGAGTGTGAAAGAGCCTTGTTATGTTAAGAATGACAGCTAATCCCAAAACGCATTTCATTCTGCCATGAAGGAAAAACAGGGGCTTCCTATCATAGCATCCAAGCTCTCCAAAAGATGCCAGTAGAAGGAGGATGCCAGGCCATTGATTGTCACTGCACCACCAGCATCACTACCCATAATAGACACAGGATAGCACACATGATGTTTTCCATATGTATGCCTTGTTCCAGTGTTGTTCAAGCAATCAGTCTCTCTCTCTCTCTCTCTTTATATATATATATATGTATATATACACACACACATATATATATAACTTCATCTTCAAAACAATTCTCTGAAATAGATTTATAATTTTGGTCATCATTATTCCTTTTTTTTTTTTTTTTTTTTTTTTTGACAGGCAGAGTGGACAGTGAGAGAGAGAGAGACATAGAGAAAGGTCTTCCTTTTGCCGTTGGTTCACCCCACAATGCCCGCCATGGCTGGCGCACTGCAGCCGGCGCATCGCGCTGATCCAAAGCCAGGAGCCAGGTGCTTCTCCTGGTCTCCCATGCGGGTGCAGGGCCCAAGCACTTGGGCCATCCTCCACTGCACTCCCGGGCCATAGCAGAGAGCTGGCCTGGAAGAGGGGCAACCGGGACAGAATCCGGCGCCCCAACCAGGACTAGAACCCGGTGTGCCGGCACCACAAGGCAGAGGATTAGCCTATTGAGCCATGGCACCGGCCCTCCTCTTTTTTTTAAAGATTTATTTATTTATTTGAAAGGCACAGTTACAGAGAGGCAGAGGCAGAGAGAGAGGGAGAGGGAGAGGGCAAGAGAGAGAGGGAGAGAGAGAAGTCTTCCATCTGATGGTTCACTCCCTAATTGGCTGCAACGGCTGGAGCTGCGCTGATCCAAAGCCAGGAGCCAGGAGCTTCTTCCGGGTTTCCCACGTGGGTACAGGGACCCAAGGACTTGGGCCATCTTCTACTGCTTTCCCAGGCCATAGCAGAGAGCTGGATCAGAAGTGGAGCAGCTGAGCATTATTCCTCTTTCTATCCCATCAGGAAGCAAAGGCAACAAAAGATTAGGGAACTTGGGCCCTTGGTAATACAGGTGGGAGAGCCAGTGGTCTTTTTTCAAGGTCCCTCCCCTCAACACCAGCACTTCCAAGTGTGGACACCAGTGATATAGTCACGGCTATGATCAGCAAAAAACAAGTGCACATCCAGCCAGTGCAAGCTTTAGAGACAAAGACCCTATCTTCATAAATCTTATAGTCTGGTTGAGGGTACAGATATTAAACAAACCACTGTGTGTATAATTTATAATTGGTCTGATGGGATTATTGGATAAAGTTGGTTACCAAGAGGTTGAATGTGAAGGAGTCTTGTTATGCCAAGGAGAAAAGTTAAACCAAAAATTCAGTTCATGATTATTCTATGGCAGTATAGAATTCTCTCTAGGGATCTTTTTTATTTATTTATTTATTTTTGACAGGTAGAGTGGACAGTGAGAGAGAGAGAGAGAGACAGAGAGAAAGTCTTCCTTTGCCGTTGGTTCACCCTCCAGTGGCCGCCGCGGCCGGCGCACTGCGCTGATCCGAAGCCAGGAGCCAGGTGCTTCCTCCTGGTCTCCCATGGGGTGCAGGGCCCAAGCACTTGGGCCATCCTCCACTGCACTCCCAGGCCACAGCAGAGAGCTGGCCTGGAAGAGGGGCAACCGGGACAGAATCCAGCGCCCCGACCAGGACTAGAGCCCCATGTGCCGGCGCCGCTAGGTGGAGGATTAGCCTATTGAGCCGCGGTGCCGGCCTCTAGGGATCTTTTTTTTATTGTGTCCACTTTTAAAGTTGAATCCAAGCTTGCAGAAAAATCAAGCTTAAAGGGACTGTGGAATAGAGTGAGATGCCCCAGGTCATGTAGGTAAAACTGCGAGAACAAGCACCTTGACCCAAGGCTAATGCTCTCTCTCCAGAAAGTGATGAATCTTCAGCCTGTTCAACTACTGAACACAGATGTACTTCTCCTGAACACACATATGCTCTCCTTATACAACCTTCCCCATCAAGTTTAAAAATACCGCTTCGAGTCATCAATCTTTCCAGTGACAGCCTCAACTGAGAAATCCATTTAAAGGAGCAGGAGGCTCTTTGCAAGCCATTGAGTTTTCTCATAGTCCTCACGTGCTTCTCCACTGCGATCTCTGACACTAACCCAGCCCTTCCCTCCTTTGGCTTTCAGCCCGAGACAGTGATGGAGCTGAGGAGGATGTAGCATTAACTTCATATGGTACTCCCATTCAGCTGCAGGTAAATGTGCTCGTCTACCTTCACCCAGCAGGGACCCAGCAAGCCCGCCTCCCTTGGGAGTGCCTTCAGGCTTCATTTCCAATGGCTTTACTGACCTGAGAGAGGACAAGCTGGGCAGGATCTTCCCAAAGGCCTTTGGAGCTTGAACCATTTCAGATTTAAGCCAGAGCAGGGCGGTGCAAGAGAATCAAGTGCACTTTTTGCCTCCCAGTCTCCACCAGCACCATGAACAAGCAATAAATCCTCATGCAGGTGAAGGTCCCTGGAAAGACAGGGTAACTCGGAGGGTCTGTGTGAGGATGAAGAGGCTCAGGCTCACAGAGCTTTGCCTTGCCAGCAGCAGAGGAGTGTAAACCTGCGTGAGTGCCCGGCCCTTGAGCCCCCACCAGCAGCCTATCGGACACCCTGTCTAGCTCCAGCAGCCCAGGCTGCCCCAGAACTGGGCCTGGTCTCTCAGCACCATCTGAATGCCCAGATGCACCAGCCGATTGCAATGCTTTCAGGACAAAACAGAGGGGGAACTGCTGAGTACGTTGGAGAGACTCGCATTTGTATTGTGATGGCTTGAAGACACACAACCTAGACAGTCAAAAATACCACATGGGGACACAATTCTTTTATTGTGGTGATCAAAAGTAACTAAAATCCAAGACTGAAAGTAATGCTCAGACCTTTTCTTTAGTAAATTTCACTAGGTATCTAAGGAAGTTAATCCCCTGGGTCTGTTATCTGAGACTTTGTACTTTCCTAAAATGACACATGGACCAGGACATTTGCTGTAATAAACACTCAAAAGGGAATTTACATGATGAGAAAAATCTTCATTCTTGCCTCAAGATTTTCCTAGATTAGTCTCAATTTCCAGTGATGAGCTATACAAAAACTCTGCAAAAATATTCTTGTTAACGGCTCAGAGGGTAGCCTTTTTTCCTTGCTCTTTTTTTAATTAACCAAGGATGAAATGATGGTGAGATGATAACATTTCAAACATAGCCTGGAAAATCTGATCTCCTATGCTGGCTCAGAGAGTTGATGGTGGTATTTCTTTCTTTCCAGACTGTTGATCCTGCACAAGAGTATTGCATCCCTCGGGTGACAGTAAGCTCCCAGCAAGATGCAGAATCCTAAAATCTACAGGAAACATGAATAGTCAAGACCCAGAAGACAAGCCTGGTAAAGGGGGCCCCAACAGGCCTCCGGGAAGCTCCCAGAGTCAGGCTGCGCAGGAAGCCTCGGCTCAGCCTGTCTGCTCTGTTTGCTGGCCTTGTCCATCCATCTGGATCTGTAATGGAAGACTGCCCATTCGAGCATAATTACAATCTTGCTGGCCACCCTCCCTTGACTATGTGTCTCTTTCTTCATTTGTGTAACTGAAAAATTCCCTTTCTTAGACATGCTGGAACGAATTGGTGCCGCTTACTAACAACTGAAAGACTCTGGTCTGCAGGAATTAGGATCATTCTAATATGACAAAGCAAAGAGGTTAGTAGCAATTTACTACTACTGGATTACTCCCCTGGTTAACTGTACACTGTGGTAAGAAACACCATACCATAAGATTTTATCTCTTAACCACGTTTCTGCAGCCAGTTTAGTAGTATTAACTAGATTCACATTGTTGTACAAAAGATCTCTACAAGTTTTTCATCTTGAAAAACTGGAATTCTGTACTAATTGAACACAACCTTCCCCAGCCAGCCCCTGGCAACACCATTCTACTTTCTGTTTCTATGACTGTTTGTTTACTTTAGATACCTTATATTATACACTTAAACAGTGTTTCTCTTTTTGTCACTGACTTAGCCTAATGTCCTCAAGGTCCATCCATATGACAGGATTATCTTCTTTTCGGACTTAATAATATTGCATGTTACGTACAAGGGCAATTTTAAAAGAACATGGGAATTCCATATTATGAAAAAACTATGCATGAATTTCAAAAAAATTTTACACCAAAATAAACTTACCTTTAAATTCCACTTTCCACAAATTTTTCTTACATATTTATTTATTTGAGAAGCAGAAAAAAGAGGTAGACAGACAGAAACAGCTCCTATCCGCTGCTTCTCTCCCCCAAAAACCTGCTACGAGCCAGGAACCAGGAGCTAAGAATTCAATCCAAGTCTCCCATTTGCACAGCAGGAACTCAATCACTTGAGCCATTACCACTGCCTACAGGTTCTAAATTTGCAGGAAGCTATAGACAGTAACAGAATCAGGTGTCAAACAGAGAGACTCTGGCATGGGAAGTAGGCATCTTCATCAGCATCTTAACCACTATGTCAGAGGCTTGTCCCTCCTTGAACTTTGTGCAGTACCCTCTTGTATACCATTTTCTCTATTTATCTGTTGACAAATTTGGGTTGTTTCCACCTCTTGGCTATTATGAATAATGCAGCAAAGAACAGGAGCGTATATGTACCTCTTTGAAATCCTACTTTCAATTCTTTGTGTTGTATGTCCAGAAGTAAGATTGCTGCATGATAAGGTAATTCTGTGTTTAATTTTTCCCTCGTGGCTGCACCAAATTACATTTCCAATCACAGTTCACAGAGAGTTCCAATTTCTCTACATTCTCACTAACTCTTGTTATTTCCTGGGTTTTTTAAAATTTTGTTTTCATTTTGCTTTGTTTTTGTTTTTGTAGTGGCTATCCTAATAGGTTAGGGTGTCTCGTCATTTTTCACAAGGAGCCCAAAACATGACGGACCCTGCAACTGCTATAAAAGTTATAAGATGATCCTCAGGATCTCTGCAGCTGAGAGATTTAAATACCATGGACATTCCCGTGGACTTGCAAACGGAAAGGCCTGCTCCCCTGCTGACCAGCCCACGCAGCCAGTGTGCCGGCAGACATGGCTAAAGTCAGTGACCTGCCTCCATAAACCAGTAACAGCAAAGGAAGAGTCACTCCTGTAGATGCTCATAAAGGGTTTTAAGTGGTGAACATGAAAAGCAAAGTCTGCCTGTCTTGATGCCTCTGATGAGCTGGGGCCTCCGCACTCCTTGTTTTGCCTTCATTTCTCATGCAGCCCCGTATTTGTCCCAAGGGTTTCATCTGTCCTTAACACGCATTTGTTATATAGGACAGTTATCACAGGACCAGAGTCGAGGACATGCTCCAGATGGGTCCCCAGGGCCCAATTCAGCCCTCTGACCTTGCAGAGGAGGAAGACAGAACCTTGAAGAAACAGAATGACTCACCCAGCTCCAACAGTAGGCAGTGCTGGGCCACGTTTCCCATCCGCTGGCCCGGTCTTCTCCCCCATCTCTGAGGCTTCTGTATCAGCAAGTCAAGACATTTCAGGCCAGTGAGTGCTGAGTGCTTGCTACGTGAAAGCACTTTGAAGCCTCCATACAAGGGTAGTTCAAAAACTTCATGGAAAAATGGGGTTGAAAGTTGGATTTAGTTTGGTAGAGAAAAATTTTGAAATGCATACGTAGTTTTTTCATAAACTGAATTTGTCATGAACTTTGTGAAGACACTTTTTATGCGCAGATTTCCCAGAAAAGTTACACCTAAACACATCTGTTTATTCTATTTCCCTCTAACTTTAAAATGATTTTTAATTATTTATTTTCTTTATTTGAAAGGTAGAGAGACAGAGATCTCCCATCCACTGGTACATTCCCCAGATGCCCACAGCAGTCGGGGCTGAGCCAGTCAGAACCTGGGAGCAGGGACCTCAATCCCAGTCTCCCACTGGATCTCCCAGCTGTGGACAGCAGTGACTCAATCACTTGAGCCATCGCCTATTGCCTCACAGGGTGTGTATTAGCAAGAAGCCAGAAGCAGAAGCAGGGCTGAGACTTGAACCCAGGCATTCCAAGGGATGTCAGCCACCGCACCAAACGCCCACTCTTCCACACACTTTTTGAAGTACCTTTGTATATGTTAGCGAAGCCTTTTGAATGAACATGGACAGCATGGATTTTTCTTTTTAAACATTTACTTAAATAACATGTTTAATATTTTCATGTTCATTGACAAAAAGCAGTTGTGGACATTTGTGAGGTACAATGTGACACCCAATGTACAATCATGGATTTTTTTTTTAAGGCAACAAATAATTCCTGAGCATCTGGAGTTCATCCCTGGGCAAGGCAGGGAACACAGAGAATTTCAGAGATGCATCTTCCTTGTCTTACAGATCAGAAAAAGGGATTTGCCCAGGATAACAGGGCTTGTTAGGGGCGGAGCCAAAACCAAGATCCAGGTTCCCAATTCCTATTCAAGAGTTCACCCCAGGCCGGCGCCGTGACTCAATAGGCTAATCCTCCACCTTGCGGCGCCAGCACACCAGGTTCTAGTCCCTGCCGGGGCGCTGGATTCTGTCCCGGTTGCCCCTCTTCCAGGCCAGCTCTCTGCTGTGGCCCAGGAGTGCAGTGGAGGATGGCCCAAGTGCTTGGGCCCTGCACCCGCATGGGAGACCAGGAGAAGCACCTGGCTCCTGGCTTCAGATCAGCACGATGCACCGGCCGCGGCGGCCATTGGAAGGTGAACCAACGGCAAAAGGAAGACCTTTCTCTCTCTCTCTCTCTCTCACTGTTCACTCTGCCTGTCAAAAAAAAAAAGAGTTCACCCCGTATACAATGTTCTGATGTTTTCAGCTACTTTTCTACTCCCTTAAAATTAGCTGCTCTTGGGGCCAGTACCGTGGCTCACTAGGTTAATCCTCCACCTGTGGCACCGGTATCCCATATGGGTACCGGGTTCTAGTCCCGGTCGGGGCGCCGGATTCTGTCCCGGTTGCCCCTCTTCCAGTCCAGCTCTCTGCTGTGGCCCGGGAGGGCAGTGGAGGATGGCCCAAGTGCTTGAGCCCCTGCACTCGCATGGGAGACCAGAAAGAAGCACCTGGTTCCTGGCTTCAGATTGGGGTAGCTCCGGCCATAGCAGCCATTTGGGGAGTGAACCAACAGAAGGAAGACTTCTCTCTCTCTCTCTCTGTCTCTCTGTCTAACTCTATCTGTCAAATAAATAAAAAATTAGCTGCTTTTTTAAAAAAATCTGTGCCCTAAGCAGTATTATCAGCACAACCCTGTACTTAAATAAGTAACCAAGGCTTTGGCCCTTCTGCCCTCACTAACAATGAGCACTGAGAGAAAAGGCTCAGACATTAAGACCCTCACCTACAGACCAGCTGGCACCCGGGTAAAGAACCAAATGCTACGTCAAGTCATGGCTTCTTGCTTTGCCAGAAAGCCATTATCGTTGATCCTCCTGGTTATTACCCCACTAACCATGACAATGTACCTTCAACATAATTTTGCTTTGGTTCGCCAGCAAGAGATTTCTGTGGAGCTGGCTGACAACCCATTGAAGCCATTTTCAAGGGCCTAAAACTGTTTCCCAAAATGTGTTGCCTAAAATTGGTGCAGGTAGGGCCAGTGTTGTAAAGCATCAGCTTGAGCCACTGCCTGCCACCAGCATCCCCTAGGAGCACCGGTTTGAGTCCCAGTTGCTCTGTTCCAGCTCCCTGCTAGTAAGCCTTGGAAGGGAAATGACCCAAGAGCTCGGCCTCTGCCATCCACACTGGGGAATCCAGGCTCCTGGCTTCTGCCTGGCCTAGACCTAGTCACGATGGCCATTTGGGGAGTGAACTAGTGGATGAAAGATGTCTCTCTCCTCTCTCTCTTTCTGTATGTCTCCTTTCAAATAAATAAACAAATCTTAATAAAAATAAGTGCAGGTAAAATTAAACTTCTTTGTACCAAATTGCCTCTGAAGTCAAGGGCATAATTTTACCACTTTTTAGACTGTGTTAGATTTGGGGGTTGTGGGTTGCAAATGTCTCAAACTCCTTCAGGAATGGAGTTTTATTGTAAGGCTTATATACAATAAGGAGACAAAAAAAACTCCCCCAAGGAACCCACTACAGCCATTTAACTGGCCTAGTGGAGATCATATAGGGCCAAACACCGCGGGATCTTGCCCCACTCCCTGCCCCACACTCCCCCTCAGCCACTCCTCGTCTCTACTTCTTGGTCTGGGTTTATCTAGCAATTCACATAAAGCTACAAACTCGGAGATATCAAAGTAGAAATCCGTGAGAAGAAACCTGTTTTAAAAATAGATGACTTTATGATTATCATATTATACTCAATTACTCACTTCAACAAATATTATTTGGAGATCTAAACTCATTTACTGGGATGAGCATTTGGTACAGTTTTAAGACGCTGCTTGGGATACCCACATTCCATATGTGAGTGCCTGGGTTCAAGCCCTGGCTCCACTTCCAGTCAATTTTCCTTGAAAACTCAAGGAGGCAGCAATTACTTGGGTTCCTGCCACTAATATGGGAGACTCAGATTTGAGTTCTAAGTTCCTGGCTT